AGGCTGCTCTAATCGCCAGATTCTGGCCATCCTTCCAAGGTTCTGCGCATGAGGCACTGGTGGCGCTGAAACAACACTCCACCGCTGAAACAACACTCCACCGTGACTGAATATAGAAAGGATTTTGAATCCCATACGACGCCGTTGAAGGACTTAGGTGAAGAGATATTGATGGGAGTCTTTATTAATGGGCTTAGAGAGGAAATACGGGCTAAGTTGAGAGTGTTAAGGCCCAGCTCCTTGCAAGAAGTAATTGAACAGGCCCATCGCGTAAAGGAAAAAAAATGGGTCATGGATAAGTGTCGGCCCAAAACATTCAAAGCCCAGGGTTCCAGGGAGAGCTACTCAAGGGTTTCTAGTAGCCCAGAACCAAATCGGCCCACATGGTGGTCCAACCCAGCAAAGACACCGACCCAACCCGACCCGCCTGATGGCCCAACTCATCAAAACCACTAGATCCAAGCCAGATCGCGTCTTCGCGCACACCCAATAGGAAAGAGAGAACGCCGAAAAATGCAAGCGCAAGTTTCTGAGGGGGATCAGGAGGAAACTTCCGGCATTTGTCCGAAGCTGATATCCAATACAAGAGAGAAAGAGGGCTTTGCTTCCGATGTGACAAAAAGTTTGGCCCCAATCACCGTTGTCAGAGCAAATCATTGCAGATCCTATTGGTGTTGGATGAAGATGAATCTGAGAAGAGTGAAACCTCACCGGAAGTTGACGAAAATCACAGCCAAGAGGGAAACGACTTGGCTTTGTCCATGAACTCCATCGTGGGCATAACGTCAGACAAAACATTGAAAGTAAAGGGTCAGATTAAGGGTTCAGACGTAGTGGTGTTGGTAGACAGTGGCGCGTCACATAATTTCATTTCTCTGGAGTTGGTCGAGAGGCTTGGTATTGCAGTAGAAAAAGGGAAAATGTTTGGGGTGATGGTGGGAAACGGAGTCATTGTGAAAGGAGAAGGGGTGTGTCGACAGGTCAATCTGGATGTGCAAGGGATTAAAATCAGGCAAGCTTTCTTTCCCTCTGAGCTCGGGGGAGCTGACATTGTTCTGGGTATCACTTGGTTGAGTTCCTTAGGGGATGTCTGTGCTAACTGGAAAAAGTTGACTATGAGCTGGATGGAGGCAGAGTCAATTTACAAGGGGACCCTTCTCTAGTGAAGTCAGTTATCTCACTGAAATCAATGTTACGGACCATCAACAACGGGGGAGGATTCCTAGTGGAATGTTGCTCGCTGGAGGATAAATTCATGAACCCAGGGACAAAAATCAGTCCACAAATTTAGGCAATACTAGATCAGTATCAACACCTCTTTGACAAACCTTCCAAACTCCCTCCGCACCGTACCCATGACCACGCCATAAACCTTAAAGAAGGTGCACCAGCCCCTAACATCCGACCCTATAGGTATCCTTATTTTCAAAAAAATGAAATTGAAAAGTTAGTGGAAGAAATGCTAGCTGCCCGTATTATCTAGCCTAGTACCAGTCTGTTTGCCAGCCCGACATTGTTAGTCAAGAAAAAGGATAGAAGTTGGAGATTTTGCGTTGATTACAGGGCCCTCAACGACATAACAATTCTCGACAAATTTCCAATCCCTACCATCGAAGAGCTATTGGATGAATTGGCTGGGGCTACTATCTTCTCTAAACTCGATCTTCTGTCCGGATACCATCAGATCAGAATAAAGGATGAAGACGTCCCCAAAACAACCTTTCGAACACATGACGGACATTACGAGTTCTTGGTTATGCTGTTCGGCTTGACCAATGCCCTCTCAACGTTTCAGTCTTTGATGAACAGCATTTTTAAACCAGTTCTGCGTAAGTTTGTGCTTATTTTTTTTGACGATATTCTGATTTACAGCCCTGACTTGGAATCCCACATCAGCCACCTGCAGCAAGCTCTTATGATTCTGGACGACAACGAATTGGTTGGGAATTTTAAAAAATGTTTATTCGGGTAGCGGAGGCTGGAATATTTAGGGCATCTAATTTCGACCAATGGGGTTGAGGCTGATCCGCAGAAAATTGCTACTATGGTTTCTTGGCCCACACCCACTAATGTGAAGAGTCTTCGCGGTTTTTTGGGATTAACGGGATACTATCACAGGTCTGTAAAGGGGTACAGCAGCATAGCCCAGCCACTCACAAGACTATTGAAGAAAAATTCTTTTAGTTGGAACCAAGAGGCACAACAGGCCTTTCATGCCTTAAAAGAAGCCATGACTTAAGTCCCTGTTTTGGCAGCTCTGGATTTCAACTCTCCATTCGAGATTCACACAGACGCATCGGGCCAAGGTATGGGGGTTGTATTAGTTCAGAAAAGACGACCCATTGCTTATTTAAGTAAGGCCTTCTCCCCTCAAGCTAAACAAAAATCAGTCTATGAGAGAGAGTTAATGGTTGTTGTATTCGCAGTGCACAAATGGAGTCCGTACTTATTGGGTAGGAAGTTCATCATTCGAACAGACCAGCGAAGCCTCCAATTCCTCAAGGATCAGCGGATTAAAACTTCAGAGTAGCAGAAATGGGTGTCCAAATTAATGGGGTTTTCGTTTGATATTCACTATTGGCCGGGAACCACTAATACGGTCACCGATGCTTTATCTCGGCGAGAAAAGGAACCAGAATTATCATCTTTGACAGTGAGATAGTTTACGAAGTATGAGGATTTGGCAACTGAGGCCCATTAGGACCCCAAGCTTCGACATCTGATTCAAGATCTGGTTTTGGCACCCAACAGTTGACCACACTACAAACTTCGCCATGGCTGCTTGTTGTATAAGGACAAGTTGGTTCTACCTAAAGGTTCTCGATTCATTCAGAAATTATTAGCTGAATTTCACTCCAGCCCAACCGGTGGTCATTCCGGTTTCTTTAGGACGTATAAAAAGGTAGCCAATGTAGCTTATTGGGTAGGCATGAAGAAAGATATCCAGAACTTTGTTCAAACCTGCACCATATGTCAAGTTAATAAACATTCAGCCTTGAAGCCGACTGGACTACTTCAGCCACTTCCTATACCAACTCAGACATTCGAAGACTTGACAATGGACTTCATTGGAAGACTTCCAAGGGCCAAGGGATTCGATACCATTCTGGTTGTAGTTGATCGATTAACTAAATATGGCCATTTTCTGCTCTTGTCGCACCCTTATACCGCCAAAGAGGTGGCCTTAATATTCATAAAAGAGATAGTGAAGCTTCACAGGTTCCCTCAATCCATCATTGCCGACAGAGACAGACTTTTCATGAGTCATTTTTGGGCTAGAGATTTTCAGGGTATCCGGAACAGCTTTGAAATTTAGTTCCGCTTACCACCCACAAACGGATGGCCAATCCGAAGTGGTAAACAGGTGCTTGGAGGCATACCTTCGTTGCTTTTGTAGCTCACAACCCTGTCGATGGCCGAATTGGCTGCCATGGGTTGAATTTTGGTACAACACAACATATCATCGATCCACCAAGATGACACCTTTTAAAGCCCTGTACGGTCGTGACCCCCCGATTCTCCTAACGTTCACAGACTACCCTTCTCAGGTCGATGAAGTCAACCATCAGATCCGTGAGCGAAATGCCATCCTTCAGGACCTCAAACACAACTTGGAAGCAGCACAAGTTCACATGAAAGCACAAGCAGATCGTCATCGACGAGAAGTTCAATTTTCTCCAGGAGAGTATGTGTATCTTCGACTACAGCCTTACAAATTTAAATCTTTGGCCACACGGTTGAATGAGAAACTGAGTCCTAGATTTTATGGGCCTTTCTAGGTCTTGGAGAAAATTGGCCAAGTAGCATCCAAGTTAGAACTACCCCTAGCAGCCCGTATTCACCTTGTTTTTCACGTATCCCAATTGAAGCACAACTTGCATAGCTCAGTTTCAGTACAACCTTTGCCTTCCTGTCTCACCGATGACTTGGAACTGCAGGTTCAGCCTGCCAAGGTAATGGATGTGAGGTCTCTTATGGATGGCTCCACTGAGGTTCTCATTCGCTGGCACGATCTTCCTATTTTCGATGCCACGTGGGAGTCCTTTGATATCATCAATAGCCAATTTCCTCAATTTCACCTTGAGGACAAGGTGTCACTTCGAGGGGCAGGTATTGTTAGACCCTCCATACATAAGGTCTATAAATCTAAGGGCAGGGAAAGGAATAGGGATAAAGGGACACATTGAGTGTGTGTTTGTTACAAGATGGTGAGGTGTGCAATAAGGGTTGTTAGGATTGATGAGTTTGTTAGGAGGTTAGACACGTGGCTGTCAATAGNAAGGTTCATAACATACAATTTATACCAAGTATATAACAAACCCAGAGTTACAGCTCTTGTTTACACTTATACGTTCTATATTAACTCTTTGAAGTCATTAAAATCTCACATTCTAGTCACACGACTGTTTGCGGTGAAATGGCTAAAATGGCTGATAGAATACACACCAACACAAGGCCAATGAGATAAAGCTAAAAAATTAGATAAAATACGACTAGACTCCTTTTTAACTACTGCCAGGTACAAATGGACTGGTGGACCAGCCTGACCCTGGATAGACTCTTGGATCCTCTTACTTCAAGAGGTGGTTCACCTAGGTGTGAAACCAAATATGAAAGAAAATCTAAGAGAACCATCGAGAGAGCTCCCAGAAGAATGGATATAAACGCCTTTTTCAAGAGTAGCTGCTGGACCTTCTGGTTATTTTATCCTTTCCGGTGGGGAACTTTATCCACTTAACACTCCTCTTTCGTAATAACAGATCCAAGAGAGAAGATTGGCTAATCAAGTGATTCTTAGCTCAGAGAAAAATACCTCTCTGTCTGCCCATTCAAATATAAACAACAGTATATTAAAAGACTCTTAACCCATATCTATTTCCTCATGTATCATGAATCATGAATCCTAAAGCTTTAGATTTCAGCCGAGTGGCTGGAGGGTACCACATTCTATATTACATCAATAGCTGACACTGTAAAGTAGAAAACAGTACAACGCATATTCACAACAGGAAAATGTAGAAATCTGACATTTGAAAGTAAAAAGGAACAGAAAAGGAAGGAGAAAAACCTGGTGAAACAGAGCCCATCATAAGATATGATGTTATATTAGCATCAACAACAAAAGCTACACGGACAAGGCCAGAAAGTGGTCCATAGCTTTCCGTTCCTGTAACATCTCCTTGTTGACCAATATCACCATCAGCAGAAATGCTTGCTGCGCCCATACTAGCAAGAGAAGCCTCATCATCATCACTGAGAGTGACTCTTGGAGTGTTAGGTACACTTGTATCCTGAAGAATGGATGCTGGGTCAATTACCTTTACTGCCCATCCCAATCGGCATGCAAAAGATGCCGCGGCTTGCAGCTGAGAAAGATCAGCCTGTAATGTTGTTGCCAGTTCAGCAACAGTGGCATTCTCGCTTGAAACAACAAAAACTGCATACAGTAACCTGAATAATGCATTTAATAGTAGTGGGATCTTAGTTTAAAATTAACTTAACCATATTCCAATGATGAATAATATCATGTACTGAAATATCTCCCTTACTCCTCAATGGGGTCTTCATAAGACTGCTCCCTGTTGGAAACAAACCCTTCAAGCCTGGAAACTGAATCATCATAAATATTAAAATTTAAACTCTGAAGTCAAATTGCAAAAGCAGAGCTAAAAAACAAACTCCTCTTAGTTTATTATTAAACCTGTCCTGTCATTTCATCATACTAGTTAAAAAATATAAAAATTAAAAAACTCCACCTACCTAAACTCAAGCACAAAAATAAATTTTATTAAATCTCCATCAAGGCTGGTGTTGAGGATTAAAGGAATAATCCCTTGACTTCTTGCTCCAAAGCAATAAGTGTTGCCAACTAGGCTATTGCCTTAGGACAATTTAAAATAAAGTTTAAAAAATAAAAATACTTCCAAAGCATTTTTCAGTCTAACACCAGAGTAAGGAAGAAAGGGAAAGTAACAGTAACTCATGATATTTTTATTTATCTTTTAAAATTTAATAAAAAAAAAAAAATGAAAGAAAGAAAGATAGAAAGTGCAGCTAAGCCAAACACAGGATCAACTATGGGATTCCTGGCATGAGACTTGCACAGAAATTTAATCACAAGATTAAAAATCAAAGAAACAAGTAATTTGAATTGACTCATACCCACTATAAATTCATGTTACAGGTTTATGAAACCATCAAATTAAAATTCTTCATCTACCCCTTAATAAAAAAGGAGCATCACCCAGAAAAGGACCAATAATTTCCAATATAAAAGTTAAAAGCTTTATTCAGTAAGACAATTCTTAACATATCCAACTTACCTTTAAAGCGGTCATCAGGATAGACAGGGACATCAAAGTAGATCAATCCCCTACGATAAAGACCCTTCATAATGTCAGGATCAAACAGGATAAATGCATTAGCTTCCTCCTTACAGACTTTATCAATGGTTGCCATTTCTTCTTCTGTGAGTTTCTATTGAAAAAAGAGAAAAATACAGTAGGTTCACATCAATCACACAAAGCTTGACCAGAAATTATGTAGATGCATTACATGTTTCTGTCTGAAATGCAGATGTGCATAGATCCAAATAACGGTGAACATTCTTTGAGTCATAAGAGGATTATCAGAAATACCTTGAATTCTTCCAGTGTAAAATTGACAAGACAAACTCCCCACCATGGTTCAATTGTAAACTCCACAGGTTGTGTAGGTAACAGTTCTTTGGCAATTGACTTGTTCAGCTTCCACATAATTTTCTGGAAAACTCCAGGTAAGTAAACGGTTGGTAAGAAGCTATAAATTTTATTCCATATCAAAAGATAAATTTCAGATAGCATTGAGGCACAATTAAGTTTTATATAATCTCCAAAATAGAGATTTATGACAAAAAAAAGGTTTACACAGCAATATCTGTCTTAGCAAAAAAAAATATATATTAAATAAATAAATAAATAAAACAATATTGGATCATAGAAGTAGGCCCAAGGGTGATGACAACATAAATATTTTACAAGACTGAAATCATGTCAACCTTATAAATTAGATACCATCTAATGATTCTTGAGAACTATCAAAATTCAATCACTCTGTAAATTCAACAGAATGATAAGCAAAAAAAAAATATTTTTGCTATAAATTGAAACAACCCAGATCTTAAAACATAAAGTTTATCACCATGGTGTCTTGCAAATAAAGACAGTACTCAATTGCTCTGTAGTTTCAATCTTCTTTTAAAGTCTTAGTAATTTTTTTATTTCCATGTAATGATACCAAATACTCATATTAGTCTCTCTTTTTCTTCTTTCACGCCCAAAATCCCCCAAACTTTCTTACAACCTCAATACTTGGTTAACTTAAGGGGCATAATATCCCAAGAAGGTGGCCCCAAGGGTTTAGGGACTCTGGAGTAAAATATTTTCCTCTAGCCGAACCAAATATCAGTAATTGAATAATCATTGTTAGACATGGATGATAATGTGTTCACATGCAGGTGTTTGTAAGGGAGAAAGCAATCAGTTACTCAGACTCTATGAATCTGTAAGCACACAGATAATATCATTGTGTACCTTAGATCTGCACTTTTTCATGATATCAATAAATTCATTTCTCCCTATTCCTGTAAGTCGCAAAGCATCAGCAGCACTGAAGTTCGGAATGCTGTCATATGGTTGCTCTGTCAACAATAAGACATCCAAGAGAATTAAATAAACAGTGATGCAAAGTTATTATCACTTTAGTCAGTGACAATGTACCAAACTTAAATTTGATTTCTTCGAATAAGGGAAATTGTTACCATTTTTCATAACCTCAAAAATCATATCACAGTAATATCTGAAAGGCGACAATCTCATCACACGGCAGACATAGTCCGCTAGGTGATAGGGAAATAACTGCAGGAACAGAAGTCAACAAGAAGTTAACTGCATGAGCCCCAAAGAAAAAGTAAATGAAGGCAAATTTGCACATGGTACTTATATATTCAGTTATGCTAAACATAAACTACAGTATGGAGCAATAATTGGCACAAAGGAAAATTGACAACCTAATCTTGTGACAGAATGAAAAGCCTTCTAATGCAACAGACTTTATGTAATTAAAAACTTCTCAAACAATTTATGCATTACACGCACCGCCAGATTTTTTCGTAAGTAACGCATCATGTCTTCATAATATTCACCTTCTTTGCATATTTTGCGAGCAAAACACTTATTCCACTGGAGTCTCTTCTTAATGCAGTGTTCAATGATCCTGCATGATGTTTAATAAAGTAGGAAAGCAGCAATATCAACGGTAAATAAAGCTTCATCAAAAGAGTTTTAAAATTGTTTCAGCTATCCGGAGCTGACTTAACAATGAATCATGCATTAAAAAACTCAATTTGACTTTCTAAGATCAAGTACTATGCTAATGAAATGAAACAAGCTAATAAGAAAAAGCCACTTTCTAACCTTCTGTGCCACTCTTCTCTAGAAGTAAGAGTGGCTTGAAGTCTTTTTGGGAGATTCTCCCACGGACATTCTTCATTGATAGCTTTCAAAATCAACTGTTCCTCAATTGTATTTGGAATGCGCTGCATTTTCACCAATCAGTTGATCCTCCCTGCGCATAGATCACTAACCATTGTAACTAATAAGTTGCTGTTTTCGAGACAACTCAAAACAGTTCTACGAGCGTTTCAACGTTTAAGTCAAAATTTAAGATTAAAAAAAGTACTAATTCGACAATTTCTATAGAATTGAGAAGAGAGGATTCTAACAAAATAAATTTATCAAAAATTAGATGACATAATAATGTGAAGAATAGATCGAGTGGAGAGAGTGGATCAAACCTGAAAGAGCAAAGAGTAGATCGAGAAGCCTGATATCGGTACAGTGGTTAGGGTTTAAATCAGCTACGAGACTAGTAAATGAAGAACTATAAATGGTGAATGCATGCATGACTGTATTATATGTATTATTTCACTTACAGCCTCCAGGCCTGACCATTTCATTATTGACTTCATTGTTCAGCATAGTTGGGCACCTAAGAGTTAAAACCCGTCACTTAGCTGACCCAGATCCACCAATTTTACTTTTTTTAATTTATTTTTATCCTATGACAATTCTTGATCTAATTTATAAATAAATTAATTACTGTCTTAATACCTATCCATATGTAATCCCGTGTCTCAATATCATAGATAGATATTCTCTGAACCTCTGTCAGGAACAAGTACTACCAAGTAACACACCGACAAGTCGGGTAAGGTACACTTTAGTGGAAGCACCAGAGTGGGCTTGACCCATATGTAAAGCCCAATTTACTTCAGTGGAAGCATCAGAGTGGGCTTGATCCATATGTAAGAAGCCCAAGTTAAGTGTGGAGGTTCGAAAGCGCGGAAGGAAAGAACAAAAGACCGCGTGCCGGCGCCCAGAGCTACACAAGTAACACAACACACTAAAGCCTCCAAAGGAGACCAAGACTTGGTGTCTCCATATTCTTTTTCTGTTTGCAGCTTCTTCTTCCCTCCGGTATCCTAAGTACAGTCCTTTCTCTGCTTTTCTGTATGTTCTATATAATCCATCTGTATCTTTTTATTTTTTTGGTTTGGTTATTAATTCTGACACCGTAACTTAGTGCGCTTTCATCTCTATAGTTAGTTTGGCTTCGCTGCTGTGCCAAAGCTTGCAAGCAGTAATTAACTAATGATCTCTGTGCTATTTTCATTAGATAGTTTCATTTTAGCTGTTGAAAGATTGATACGAAATTGATTTGATTTGATATAAGCTAATTAAAGCGGTTGATTTGGGTGAATAGGGGTAGGGGAGAAAATGGCTTTGGGACTTATATTAGGGATAGGGAGAGAATGCAGGAAAGGTACATCATCACTCTCGTCGAAACGCGCCCCGCGAGATTATTACAAGGGAAAGAATTGCGAGCCAACTGGTTCCATACTCGCAAAGGTTCGATTGTTTTACTTCCCTTTGCATTTCTCCATTCCAGCTTAAAATGTGTTTGTTGATAATCCAGCGATTTAGAAGAGTGATGATAATTGTTTGAGTTCAATGAAATGTACTGAAAAGTTTTATAGAATTATGAAAACTAAATTTTACATGCTCACCGCGTTTATAGTTTTCGTCTCTTGATTAACTGGCAACTAATGCAGGGTGGTACGTTGTGGTGCAAGTGAAACTGCCCAACTATTGGTTCCTGATTTGACTGACTCGTGTGAGATTCTATTCTATTCTTTCTTTTATATTTTCCTGTTGCTAAGATTTGTATGAGCTATAGGTGCAAATACGGTTGTTGTTGGGAATTATCGGATGTTTCATTAAAGTTTTCATACAAGATTTAGGATTGAGTTATCCTCTTCATTGTCTATTGCCTACAAGAATTTTTAAGAACTTCCTCAATTTTTTTTATGTTGTCTTAGGGGTTGAGATGCATGAGCATGAGCTTTTCCATAGGCCTTTTAACTCAATTTAGTTTTAGAGCAAGAAAGCTTGCAAAGGATGGTGTTAGTTTCTTCAGTAGTTCATAGCGTTAGAGGTTCAATTTCGTTAAAGCTTGTGTTTTGTAATCAAGAGGTTCATGTCTCACACTGAGGTTTACCTCAAGTTTGAATTAGGTATGGAATCTTTGTGAACGCCAGATTGAGGGTTTGGACTTCTGATCGATGAAACACTAGGGATTTCCCTCCCTGAAATTCCTTAAAAGATTGTGCCATGATGTGTCTATCTCAGCTGTCAAATAGGATTTTTGTGCCATCAGTTACACTCCGACTTTTATTTCTTGAAACTTTGAGCAATTATCAACCAACCCAAAGGCATTTCCTCCACATATGCAGTCTGCAAATTAGTTGCGTGTCTATTAGGGAACTCCAATCCGCACACATGGAGCAATTACCTGCCTCTCTCTTGAATTAGGTTTCTGAGGGAGGATCTAATATGACTAACATTCCTATTTTTCAAAGGATAATTGGACATCTAAATCTGACTAGTTCGAATGGAATCTCTTAAGAATGGCCTAGAAAAGGGAGTTGCATATTGACACTGCTACCTTTAGAAATGGCTATTTTTGTTTCCAGCAAAAGATTTGAGCTCTCATGTTAGTTAGCTATTGAATATTTACTTTGATGAAGTTTTTTCGTAATGGTTGATACGAATTGCTCTTCGTGCATGCAGCTCAAGCACATGGTCACAGTGCCTGATGGAAGTCAAAGCAGCTGAGACTGCTGAATCAGGAATATAGTTTAATAAAGCGAGAAAGGGCGTCTGACCTTTTCCAAACTGCTGTATTCCTCTGCAATGTATTCAAGTTAGCAAATGACTCTGTGATTGAAACTATAAGAGTCACTTGGTAGTTTCATGCTTCTCTCTTGTTCCAGAATCTGACCGTGTGTCAGTTATTTGTTCAATTATGATTGGTTAAGAACGTCCTATAATGGAAACAATTTACAGAAACTTGTTGAGATTGTATGGTAGTCAGATAAAAACTAATATGCTACATGGTGTGGTCATACATTAGATCAAAGGGTAGCTGCAACTGCTAATCTCATTAATATTAAAACTCAGTGATGCTGTGTATTTCTGCTTCATCGAAGTCAAATGTATGTTTTGTGAATATGCTTCAAAATGTTACTAGATTCTCGCGCTGAAATATCTGGATTAATATAAGAATCCTGTAATTTTGTCAGGCAGGTTCAGCAATCACATTTGGAAATATACTAAAGTGCCTTGGTTTTATCTCAAGGGTAAGGCATAACAATACATCAGGCCAACGACTCAATCCCAAACAATTTCTGTATCTCCTTTTGATTAACAACATATTTTACACATGCAATTTCTACAAAGGGTCTAATGACGACATGAGATAAGTAGTGTGTAGGGTTAGGAGGTCATTTTCTACAAGTGTGGATGGAGAAATATCTACGATTTAGATAAGGAGGGTGAGGGTGAGGGTGAGAGTGAGAGTGAGACGGAGCCCTCGTTACAGGGGAAGGGAAGGGGAAGGGGATGGGGATGGGGATGGGCGCATCTAATGAATGACGCCCACTCAATTTTTTTAAAATTTCGGATTTTAATTTATATTTATATTATTAATTTTAGCCCTATAAAACTTTGAGATTTTGAGAATGGACCGCCCACTCAATTTTTGCATTACACGCACCGCCAGATTTTTTCGTAAGAGCATCTCCAACCCACGCCAAATTGGCGCAAAAAAAACACCAATTTGGCGTGGGTTGATAATCCAACCCACACCAAACACGCGCCATTTTGGCGCAGTGCTACAGTGCCGCGCCAAATTTGGCGCGGCACTGTAGCACTGCGCCAAAATGGGGCAGCACTGTCGATAATAAAAAAATATATTTTTTTTTTAATTTTGATTTTTTGTTTTTTTTTTTATTTTGTTAAGTTAATTTGGTATTAAATTTTACATCAAAATCATACAAATTTGAGTATTTGTATTTAATTAATTTGATATTATTATATAATGATATAATTTAAAAAATGATGACAAATTAAAAATAGAACTTTATTCAATGCAAATATAAACTACAAAAATAAAAATAAAAATTAACACAATTTAAAAACACTAAAATTAATAAAATACAACATAAACTAAATAACAATTAGTTTTTTTTTTTTTTTGTATCATTTATATTAGATGTAATGTTTTCTATATTAAAGTAAGTTTATTGATTAATAAATGTTAATTCTATTAAATTAGTATAATTTTCAAAATAATTATTATTTAATAAAAATATCATTCCCAATATTTAATTAATATATACAAAAATAATGAGTGAAATAGATTAATTGTTGATTATTACAATAAAAGAAAAAAAAGAATATTCTAAAGAATATTCTTTTTGGTGCAATATTTGGTGTTGTGGGTTGGAGATGGAATAGTGTTTTACACCAAATTTTGCACCAATTTGGTATAATTTTGCACCAAATTGGTGCAATGGGTTGGAGATGGTCTAAGTAACGTATCATGTCTTCATAATATTCACCTTCTTTGCATACTTTGCGAGCAAAACACTTATTCCACTGGAGTCTCTTCTTAATGCAATGTTCAATGATCCTACATGATGTTAAAAAAAGTAGGAAAGCAGCAATATCAACGGTAAATAAAGCTTAATCAAAAGAGTTTTAAAATTGTTTCAGCTATCCGGAGCTGACTTAACAATGAAACATGCATTAAAAAACTCAATTTGACTTTCTAAGATCAAGTACTATGCTAATGAAATGAAACAAGCTAATAAGTAAAAGCCACTTTCTAACCTTCTGTGCCACTCTTCTTTAGAAGTAAGAGTGGCTTGAAGTCTTTTTGGGAGATTCTCCCACGGACATTCTTCATTGATAGCTTTCAAAATCAACTGTTCCTCAATTGTATTTGGAATGCGCTGCATTTTCACCAATCAGTTGATCCACTCCCTGCGCATAGATCACTAACCATTGTAACTAATAAGTTGCTGTTTTCGAGACAACTCAAAACAGTAACTACGAGCGTTTCAACGTTTAGGTCAAAATTTAAGATTAAAAAAAGCACTAATTCGACAATTTCTATAGAATTGAGAAAGAGAGGATTCTAACAAAATAAATTTTACCAAAAATTAGATGACATAATAATGGAGTGGATCAAACCCGAAGGAGCAAAAGAGTAGATCGAGAAGCCTGATATCGGTACAGTGGTTAGGGTTTAAATCAGCTACAAGATCTAGTAAATGAAGAACTATAAATGGTGAATTGCATGCATGACTGTTATATTTATATGTATTATTTCATCCTTACAGCCTACAGGCCTGACCATTTCATTATTGACTTCATTGTTCTCGTAGTAGTTAGACCCATAAGAGTTACCAAACCCGTCACTTAGATGACCCAGATCCACCAATTTTACTTTTTTTTTTTTTTTATTTCTCTATGACAATTCTTTTGTCATAATTTAGAAATAAAATTAATTACTGTCTTAATTACCATATGTAATCTCTTAGTTTCAATATACCTAGGGGTGTTCAAAATAACTAATTGAAACCGAAATCGACGAGTACTCGAGGTTTGGTTTCGGTTCCTACCCGGAACCGGTCATCAACGGGTAGATTCCGATTCCAAATTTTTGGAATCGTTGCTGTGTGGTTTCGATTCCGGTTTCTATAATTAGGAATTGAAACCGAAACCGGGAACCGAGACTAATATAAAATAAAATTAAAAAGAATGGGGGTTAATAAAAACTTTTGTAGAAAAAGTGATGTGAATACATTTATATTTATATTTCATAACATTTAAAATAAGTTGGTTTGACTTCTGATAATCTATCTTTACAAAGTAATGGAGTTTTTAGTTTTTAATTTATAATTTATAATTTTATTTTTGTTAATAAGTTCCAGGTGGGGGGTTATTTATAAGTTTTTAAGGGTTTTTTTTTGCAATTTTAAAAACTTTTAGGGGGTCACAAATTTTACAAGGTACCCAGAATCGAAACCGAAACCATTGTTATAGGTTCTGGTTTTGGGTGCCTAGGAACCGGAACTGTCGGCTCCGATTCCGATTTCAAATTTTAAAAAACCATCGATTTTGATTCCTTAAAAAAATACAGGGTATCCGAAACCAAACGCTCCTAAATATATCATAGATGTATATTCTCTGAACCTCTGTCAGTAACAAGTACTATCAAGTAACAACCGACAAGTCGGGTTAAGGTATACTTTAGCGGAAGCACCAGAGTGGGCTTGACCCATATGTAAAAGCCCAATTTACTTCAGTGGAAGCAACAGAGTGGGCTTGATTCATATGTAAGAAGCCCAAGTTAAGTTTGCAGGTTCGAAAGCGCGGACAGGAAAGAACAAACGGACCGCGTGCCGGCGCCCAGAGCTACACAAGTAACACAACACACTACACAGCCTCCAAAGGAGACCAAGACTTGGTGTCTCCATATTCTTTTCCTGTTTGCGGCTTCTTCTTCCCTCCGGTATCCTAAGTACAGTCCTTTCTCTGCTTTTCTGTATGTTCTATATCAATCCTCTATCTGTATTCTTTTTATTTTATATTTTATTTTTTTGGTTTGGTTATTAATCTCTGACATCGTAACTTAGTGCGCTTTCATCTTTATTGACAGGATTTACGCATAGACTGTGGAAACAGAACTTTGTAATGGCTCTTAGTTTTGAGGTAGAGCGTGAATTTTTTGCTGTTTCCTTTTTTTTTTTTTTTACTTAGATGACACGCATATACAAACAACAAGTAGTTCAATATTAAGAACGTTTGTTGTGGATTATGGCATTGTTGACAATTTATTTGGTTATGGGAATAATGAGAGGAAGCCAAGATATATGCATTATCCGAATGGAAGTTTGTTCTTGGTTGCTCTACGTCATTTCTAGCATTATATGATTTTAATTTCACTCTCGTGCTTTTTGTGAATGTTAGCATGGTCATGTGACAAAACTCTAGGAAGATATTAGATTGTCAAAAATTAATGTAATATCATCAAAGTTTGTTTTCTATTTTTCTGGATAGATAATGTAATTAAGCCATGAGCATTTGTTGATGATGATATTTGGGAGGAAATAATAATTTATTTTATGGTGAGAAAATGTTTTCCTTCTCTTTATTTTTTGTAATAACCTTCATTGCTCACAATTTGAACTGAGGCCGATTGTTTTGTTGTGGTTAATTGTTTGTATTTTGTTGCTGATTTTTGGAATTTTTTTGACTTTTTCGTTTTAGGTTCTGGGAAGGTTTAATCGTGCCCGTGCAGCTCAATTGACTCTCCCTCATTTTGTTTGCCAAACACCTCTGTTTATGCCTGTGGGAACACAAGGTTAGAGTTTCATTTATCATTTATTAAGTCAGCATATGTCATCTATTACTCGAGAATATTGTTCTTGGAACTTTATCGTTCATTATTTTAGTTTAGTCTAAAGAAGAGAGGATATGTATCTTAAAATGGAAAATACATTTCTATGAAAATAAATGTTTTAGAGTAAATCTTTCTCATTTCTGTCATTTAAATTGGCTTTCATTTACATATTGTAAGAAAGTATGCACAAAGAACACAGACTTATAACATCATATGTATCTTCAATCATTTGGTCTTCCTGGTCACAGGGACAATAAAGGGTTTGACAACTAATCAGCTTGAGGAGATTGGCTGTCAAATAATTCTTGGGAATACATATCATTTGGCACTTCGTCCTACCTCTGAGCTTATTGATGAATTGGGTGGTCTTCACAAATTTATGAATTGGCCTAGAGCACTGCTTACTGATTCTGGTGGCTTTCAGATGGTTATCTTAATATTTTAATACTGTTATATCATTCTTTAATTAATTGTATGCTTGTTGTTTATCCTGATTTCTGCTTGAGGGTGAAGTTGCTTGTATTTAATATATTTATATACCTTGACATGCATGGTCTTTTATCGTAGAGTGAGTCAGTAAGGTTGGTATTCATTCACCCTCACTCTAGGTTTATACTTCACTACTTATTAGGTTTATAAGTTTCTGCTTTGCAATTCCCATAGTCTACTATATTTATTGTCTGCATACCAATTGTATGCAAACTATGTTTTTTCGCCTAATTTATATGTCATACATCCTGTCATTATCTCTTTTTTCTCCAAATGATGAGTATCTAGCTTTTCATTTTCATAGTCTTTAGGTATTCTCAAATAATATTCCTAACAACATTATGTTTTATAAGTTTACATAAAGATGTTCTCAATAGAGATAATCATGATCCTAATGAATCTCTTAATGCCATTAGGTTGCACTTCTTGTAAATCTTTGTGCTGCAGAAAATATTCAGGTTTAATGATACTTGTGGTTAACACTTTATTGCTTATATTTCAGGTTTCTCTTCTGCATTTAGCTGACATCACTGAAAAGGGTGTAACGTTTCAGGTAATTGTTCATTTTTGGTTTAAGGAGTGATTCAAAAAGTTTATGAAATGTGATTAGCAGACTCTAATGGATTATCTATGAGAGTTAGCATTGTTTCGATTTAATTACTAATTTTTTGCTATGGGGCATCTTGAAGAAAACTGGAACGATAAGCTTGATTTAGATGCATATGTATAGGTAATCCACGATAGTTTTCTGTTGATCTCTCTTCTTTTTGTTCTTACAGATGAGAACATCTTCCGCATAGATTTAAAATTATCATGTAGATTCAACTTGTTTCCTTTTATAACATGCATTTCATTTTTTAGTTGATTAGGTTTCTGTCCAATGTAGTACAGTATACTTTCATGCGAACGCTCAATTACTTTGCTAGTTTCTTTATTGATGCTTTTCCTCTTTAATTTATTCTGCTCCAAGCTTTTCGAAGGATTGGATTATGTTGCTAATTCATGTTTTAAATTGATACTTTCTTTCTTAATTCAGTCGCCGGTTGACGGAAAGCCAATGCTCTTAACACCTGAGGAATCAATTCAAATTCAAGTAGGTACATCTGTTTTATGTGGTTTTGCTTGTTTTGCAACTTTTTTAATGTAAATCTGAAATTTTTCTATTGTGCATCTCTTGTTATCTGAAATTCAACTATACTGTTTTGTCACCGGTTGACAGAAAGCCAATGGTTTTGCAACTTTTTTATATATATTGGTGGTATCAAAATGGAGTACTCCATCATATTAATTTTAGTATAGTTTATAATCACTAATATATGGTCTTGCAAGATCTTATCATTTACAATGGAGTACTCCATTTTGATACCACCAATATAGGCACTCCTTGAGATCTAATTTCTTAACTTGGAGTATTTTGTTATCATCCATTAATTAAACATCATTTTGCTTGTTAAAAAGAAAAAAAGTATAGATGTATCAAGTTCGACCATTTTGAAGATGCCTTAATTTGTTGCTTGTCATTGATTTTTGTTCTTATATATACAATTTGCCCTCTCTGTGGAACAATGGTTCTTGCACAATAAGCCTTCTTTGAATAAAGCTGTCTATGCTCTCTTCTGTTTTTCTAAAGTAGCTTTTTCTTCCAATCCTTTGCTGTATGGCATCAAGTGAAATTTGAAATAAGGTGCAACTGTTATTCTCATGGGATAAATATTACAAAAGTTTACATGCACTCAACTTTTTTTCTTCTTAAGTGTTCATTGCATGTGTCTTCTCTTCTCCTTATGATCCTGCAGAACAGAATTGGAGCAGATATAATTATGGCTCTTGATGATGTAGTAAAAACTACCATTACTGGTCCACGAATTGAGGAGGCCATGTATCGCACCCTTCGCTGGATTGACAGATGTATAGCAGGTGATTTGTATATATTTAATGTCACTCATGTTTATTGCAAAAATAGATCAAAAAATGCAAACAAAGAAGTTATAAACTGATAGAACAACCTGCAAATCAATTCAACACACAGCCAAAATACAAGAACAGAAGCTGAAACAAACAATTCTGAATAATCCTCAATCTGTATATTAATCAAACAATCTGGGAATCACAATTGAAAGAAAATGAAATAAGAGCAGTAGCCGGATAGTCCTAGCATTTTGAGGAGCTAGGGACCTCCATTGTTTACTCTTAAAAGAATGCTTAACTCTCTCGTTAAATCTCAACAATATATACTAAGTTTTTCCCATAACTACCCCTCACTCACACAATTCTCACACCCATATCACGCATACAGCCACGTGGACTATAACCCCTTAACAAACAATCCTCAATGTCTATTATGTCCCTTAAGTGAGTACACCTTATGCACAGCAGTCCTATCATAAACTTACAAGAATTGTAGTTGATCCAAGTTTTAGTGGTGCAGTGTTCCTGTTGCACCACTTATAACTGGTCCAGTCTTTTTGGTCTATAATCGTTCTTAGTCTTAGGAGCTTAGGCTTTCTGTACTGGGTTGAGTTAGTTGACTAGTATATGGAATTCATACTAATGCTTGATGTCATTTATTGATAACATTCATGCTCTGTCTTTTATCCATTCAATTGATTCCTTCTACTTTTCATTTATTAACCAACTATGTTTCTTACATATGCATATACCATGTTGAATAAGTTGGTTAGTGTAGCGAATTGAAATTTCCAGTTTTCCTCTCTTTCTATCTGCAATCATACCTCACTATTTATGTTTTGATGGAGTTGCTTAAACTTTTTGCTGGATTGACATGTGGACAGCTCACAAGAGACCACATGAACAGAACTTATTTGGTATTGTACAAGGTGGTTTAGATCCTGTGCTAAGGTGAGTCTCACTAATTGTTATCTTGCTGCTGTTAATTTACTGGGCAATGCATACTTCTTTCCTTTATTAGTAGGCACTTCCTGTACTAATACTTGTTTGTTGTCACAACTTTTTGTAATCAGGGATATATGTGTTAGAGGCTTGGTGGATCGGAATTTACCTGGGTATGTGTACTTTCCTTCTATGAATAGTGTTCAGGTCCAAGGCCAGAAGTAATCAACTATGGACTTTTCTTTGCTCATTTTAAGACAAGAAAAATAAACATCTCCATGGAATACTTCTTCAAATTATTTTATGCTCTCCCTTGTGCAGTGTGATAGGGTTAAACAGTATACAACCTTTTAGGATGTAAGATAATTTGCAATTGTGCACAATATTGAAATTAGCGACTTAAAGCTTTCCCCTTTTGCTTTTCGATAATCATTCTTTGTTTACTTTCAGGCTAACGGTCAATTAAGTTCTCAGTTTCCAGTTCAAAATTCATTTTACAGTGGTCTTAAGATATATTCCTTACTTCATTTTTGGCGTTGGCTTGACATTGTAGCATTGTGTTTCTTTGATCAAGGAGTTGATTGACCAGTCTTACTTCTGTGACAGCTATGCTATTGGTGGTCTTGCAGGCGGTGAAGATAAGGATTCCTTTTGGCGTGTTGTCGCCCAATGTACTGCTGCATTGCCTGAGGATAAACCAAGATATGTTATGGTACAAATGACAGTTTGTCATTTTATCCTTACTTCATTCAAACTATCTGGGACTCTAATAAATATCACTTGATTTACCTATATAATGGGTACTTTTACATGTGATATTTCAGGGAGTTGGGTATCCACTGGATATTGTAGTTTGCAGTGCTTTGGGTGCTGACATGTACGACTGTGTCTATCCAACACGCACTGCTCGTTTTGGCACTGCTCTGGTACCTGAGGTGAGGGATTCATCTTTGATATTTAGTTAAAATATGTTAACTGGCCTTCCTTTACAGTGGGGGACATTGAATCCTGAGGACTATTTTGTGTACTTTGAATATATATACAAATGGTATTTTCCCGCAATCATGTCCATTTTGTATTGCTTGAAGACACGGCTACAGTGGAACTGGTTACTTCTTAATATTTTCAACAGTACTGCAAATCATGTACTATTTGATGGATCTAGTAGCTTTTCACTCAGCAGTATTAATCTGGGTTTTTATACTCACCAACTTACATTAGATCTCATTTTTAAATTGACAAATAATCCAATTTTGAAAGTCTGGTGTGTTACAATTCCCTTATTTTGAAACTCTAATGTTAAGTACTTAATTTAACGCACAGGGAGTTCTAAAACTCAAACACAAAGCAATGGCTGATGACACTCGGCCCATTGATCCTACGTGCGCTTGTATGGTATGCTCATAACTTGATATTAATTTGTTTTAGATATTAATATATGATTGCTGCTAAGGTCAATCTATGCCTCACTCGATCTCTACCATTTTAGGTTTGCAAGAACTATACAAGGGCTTACATTCATTGTCTTGTTACAAAGGATGCTATGGGATCTCAGCTTTTGTCATATCACAATTTGTATTACATGATGCAGGTACAAACAGTAAGATCCATATGAATCATTCTCGTAACCATTTCAATCGCATACAATTAAAAAATTAATTCTCTTACAAGTGCAGTTTAGCAGAAATCTACACTCTTCAATAATTGAGGGAAGGTTTCCAGAGTAAGTTTGCATACAGCTTTGTTTAGAGTTTCCCCTTTCCACCCCTGAGGTTTTTTCAGTATGCCATATACAATTCCTGACTTCTACCATAGCAACTATTTAATTGCTTTTCCCGTTTCATTTGCAGGTTCGTGTGCGATTTTCTGCAGAAAATGGTAAATTTAATAATTTCATGTTAAGTTGCATACTATATTCTTCTTTTCTGATAACTGAATCGTGTAATTCATGTCTTCTACTGGAGCAATATATAATGCCAATGCCCACTAGCTGGAGTTTGTGAAACTGCATTTTTTTTCTCCAATCACTCCTTACCTTTTCCTGTAACTTGATAATGTTAAAATGGTGTGGTGGGGTTGGGTCAGTGATAGGTCTTAGGTTTGATTCTCACCTAGCATTGAAAGACAAATTATTGAGTTGTCACATGGTTGATATTAACTTAAACTACAAAGCTGTTGAACCTTGTGACGTATTTTTTGTCTTGTAGTTTCCTAAAGGTGATGTCCCTGAATGGGTCTGCAACGCCATGGAGGTTGCTGGAATTGATATCTCTTCCTGCTGTGCTCCATTCCCTTCATCCCAGGATTAGATTACAAATATTTACACAAGGATTTATTTAAGAGAACTTTACACACCCGGCCTCAAAGAATTTATCATTAAAGGTAATCTAATTTACAGGTGACAACACTGCAGCATAAGTTTTGTAGTCAATATGCTGCCATAATTAGGAATTAAATCCACTGAAAAATCTCCTCTCCTTTTTGTTTCCCACTTTTCCTTCACTGATTGGTTGTACAATTGCAAGAAAATCTTGCTTTCACATATCCTTATGCATTATTAACATAAAGTTTTCTGTATTATTTTTATATCTTTATGATTCGCCTCTTTTTTTTTTTTTTTTTTTTTACAATTATATAACATTAAGGGAGTAAAAAGATGCTCCGATCCATCAAGTGATGAAATTCAAAATCTTTTGAATCTTGTTCTGAGACACACAAAGTATGGAGAGGTGGGCCTCATTTTTGCTAATCTCCCCCTTTCTCTCGCTAATCACACACAAAAAAATTCGTTTTCAATGCAATAACGAATAAGTCAAGCGATGGCAATTTTATTACCCATTCCACTTAGACTTAAAGCTTTGATCCTCTTCTTGCTTTTTGCTCAGTTATGCTACCTGGTAATGATATCAATACTTTTGCACTATATGGAACAAAAAATGAGACATTCAATAGCAACTGAACACGAATTCAGAAGGCCCAGAACCGAAACTGAATTTCTCTAGAAAGTGGAGAAGAAGTAGCACCAGTTGGTGACAGACGCAAAAGAAAATGTCAAATCGCTCTATGGGACATTTCATTGTAGAAACATGACTTTATGTGACTTACACCAAATTTCATTATCAGTTCTGGTCCTTCTGGAAAGTAACATCTCTGGCTAAACCGATATACAATCTCCATAAAAGCATGAATTCTTCAATATACAAGCCTTTTTTCTCTTTTTTTTTTTTTTTTTTTTTTGTTCTGGTTGGACCTCAAAGTCTAAGTAGTTAGCCAGTGTGAATCTGAATTTCTACGGTATAAGAAACCCTTTTTTCACCCAACAGTAACCAAACTTTTGAAAACTTATTGCAGAATTATTTTCCTTGATTAGATTGGAAGCCCTTAAAAGTCAATAAATATTCTATTCCCTCTGCTGCCCAAACCTAGTCTAGGTATACCTCTCCCAAAGCCTTAGAAAATAAAAATAAATAAAGCATAAAGTAATCTGCCGTCCCTCTGGGGGTTCTGTTGCCCACTGTCCCAATTTTCTCCCACTTTACAAAACGTACACGCACAAGCTCCGTTCCCCACCTACTCAATTCTACTTTTTCACTTTTCTTCTTCTTTATTTTTGCACACTTATCTTTTCCTACAGTTTCATCTCTGTGGGACTCCATCCATTTTCTCTCTTTCTAGAATGCCTAGGAGCAACAAAAGTAAACGAAACAGAACAAACTACGCATCACTTTCCTAGTTCAATTATGAAAGGTCATTGATGTTCCGAGATAGTATGTTTGTTATCAATTAATTTCGAAACATACATGAACTTGGCAAATACCCTTCTACGAGAACTGGACAATAAGCTTCTAGCTAAAGCCATGTGATGATCGTACTATAATTGACAATTTATCAGATTTGGATGTTCAATACTATGGACTTGCCTTTCCTTTTAAGTTAAAATAAATGGACGTATAACTAAACAAAGCCCCCTATCTTATTTCTTATTTACTTGTAATAAGATTCCAGTATCAATGAGATTACGAGAAATCATTTCACAAATCTCCTTAAACGTCGTGTATTCAATAAATTGAGCAGCTTTATGGGCTACGAGAAATGTGGTTTGATTGGAGGGCTGGCCGGCCCTTCACTGTTTCACAATTTAGTTGGCTTGACCGCCGACATGTTTGTAACTCGTAAGTCTCAAACTCCAAATACACGCATGGCCGTTATATACTATCAAATCAAAGATTCAAAGGTCGGTGGTGAAAGGCCATCACCATTTCTATTTTTTTTTTTTTAAATTTTATTACTGTGGTATCCCACAAACTAATTTCGTAAAGACTCTTGATATCGACCTAATAAACTTTAGTGAACATCCTTATTAATACTTGGAATATGACACTCGGCCCATTGATCCTACGTGCGCTTGTATGGTATGCTCATAACTTGATATTAATTTGTTTTAGATATTAATATATGATTGCTGCTAAGGTCAATCTATGCCTCACTCGATCTCTACCATTTTAGGTTTGCAAGAACTATACAAGGGCTTACATTCATTGTCTTGTTACAAAGGATGCTATGGGATCTCAGCTTTTGTCATATCACAATTTGTATTACATGATGCAGGTACAAACAGTAAGATCCATATGAATTATTCTCGTAACCATTTCAATCGCATACAATTAAAAAATGAATTCTCTTACAAGTGCAGTTTAGCAGAAATCTACACTCATCAATAATTGAGGGAAGGTTTCCAGAGTAAGTTTGCATACAGCTTTGTTTAGAGTTTCCCCTTTCCACCCCTGAGGTTTTTTCAGTATGTCATATACAATTCCTGACTTCTACCATAGCAACTATTTAATTGCTTTTCCCGTTTCATTTGCAGGTTCGTGTGCGATTTTCTGCAGAAAATGGTAAATTTAATAATTTCATGTTAAGTTGCATACTATATTCTTCTTTTCTGATAACTGAATCGTGTAATTCATGTCTTCTACTGGAGCAATATATAATGCCAATGCCCACTAGCTGGAGTTTGTGAAACTGCATATTTTTTCTCCAATCATTCCTTACCTTTTCCTGTAACTTGATATGTTTATACTGCTCAGTGAACAAACATATTTAATTGCGGAAGCTGTGGCTCTGGTTTTTGGATTGAATGTTAAAATGGTGTGGTGGGGTTGGGTCAGTGATAGATCTTAGGTTTGATTCTCACCTAGCATAGAAAGACAAATTATTGAGTTGTCATATGGTTGATATTAACTTAAACTACAAAGCTGTTGAACCTTGTGACGTATTTTTTGTCTTGTAGTTTCCTAAAGGTGATGTCCCTGAATGGGTCTGCAACGCCATGGAGGTTGCTGGAATTGATATCTCTTCCTGCTGTGCTCCATTCCCTTCATCCCAGGATTAGATTACAAATATTTACACAAGGATTTATTTAAGAGAACCTTACACACCCGGCTTCAAAGAATTTATCATTAAAGGTAATCTAATTTACAGGTGACAACACTGCAGCATAAGTTTTGTAGTCAATATGCTGCCATAATTAGGAATTAAATCCATTGAAAAATCTCCTCTCCTTTTTGTTTCCCACTTTTCCTTCATTGATTGGTTGTACAATTGCAGGAAAATCTTGCTTTCACATATCCTTATGCATTATTAACATAAAGTTTTCTGTATTATTTTTATATCTTTATGATTCGCCTCTTTTTTTTTTTTTTTTTTTTTACAATTATATAACATTAAGGGAGTAAAAAGATGCTCCGATCCATCAAGTGATGAAATTCAAAATCTTTTGAATCTTGTTCTGAGACACACAAAGTATGGAGAGGTGGGCCTCATTTTTGCTAATCTCCCCCTTTCTCTCGCTAATCACACACAAAAAAATTCGTTTTCAATGCAATAACGAATAAGTCAAGCGATGGCAATTTTATTACCCATTCCACTTAGACTTAAAGCTTTGATCCTCTTCTTGCTTTTTGCTCAGTTATGCTACCTGGTAATGATATCAATACTTTTGCACTATATGGAACAAAAAATGAGACATTCAATAGCAACTGAACACGAATTCAGAAGGCCCAGAACCGAAACTGAATTTCTCTAGAAAGTGGAGAAGAAGTAGCACCAGTTGGTGACAGACGCAAAAGAAAATGTCAAATCGCTCTATGGGACATTTCATTGTAGAAACATGACTTTATGTGACTTACACCAAATTTCATTATCAGTTCTGGTCCTTCTGGAAAGTAACATCTCTGGCTAAACCGATAGACAATCTCCATAAAAGCATGAATTCTTCGATATACAAGCCTTTTTTTTCTAGTTGAACTTGAACCTCAAAGTCTAAATAATTAGCCAGTGTGAATCTGAATTTCTACGGTATAAGAAACCCTTTCTTCACCCAACAGTAACCAAACTTTTGACAACGTATTGCACAATTATTTTCCTTGATTAGATTGGAAGCGCTTAAAAGTCAATAAATATTCTATTCCCTCTGCTTCCCAAACCTAGTCTAGGTATACCTCTCCCAAAGCCTTAGAAAATAAAAATAAATAAAGCATAAAGTAATCTGCCGTCCCTCTGGGGCTTCTGTTGCCCACTGTCCCAATTTTCTCCCACTTTACAAAACGTACACGCACAAGCTCAGTTCTCCACCTACTCAATTCTACTTTTTCACTTTTCTTCTTCTTTATTTTTGCACACTTATCTTTTCCCACAGTTTCATCTCTGTGGGACTCCATCCATTTTCTCTCTTTCTAGAATGCCTAGGAGCAACAAAAGTAAACGAAACAGAACAAACTACGCATCACTTTCCTAGTTCAATTATGAAAGGTCATTGATGTTCCGAGATAGTATGTTTGTTATCAATTAATTTCGAAACATACATGAACTTGGCAAATACCCTTCTACGAGAACTGGACAATAAGCTTCTAGCTAAAGCCATGTGATGATCGTACTATAATTGACAATTTATCAGATTTGGAGGTTTAATACTATGGACTTGCCTTTCCTTTTAAGTTAAAATAAATGGACGTATAACTAAACAAAGCTCCCTATCTTATTTCTTATTTACTTTTAATAAGATTCCAGTATCAATGAGATTACGAGAAATCATTTCACAAATCTCCTTCAACGTCCTGTATTCAATAAATTGAGCAGCTTTATGGGCTACGAGAAATGTGGTTTGATTGGAGGGCTGGCCGGCCCTTCACTGTTTCACAAATTAGTTGGCTTGACCGCCGACATGTTTGTAACTCTTAAGTCTCAAATACACGCATGGCCGTTATATACTATCAAATCAAAGATTCAAAGGTCGGTGGTGAAAGGCCATCACCATTTCTATTTTTTTTTTTTTAATTTTATTACTGTATTATCCCACAAACTAATTCCATAATACTCTTGAAATTGACGGAATAAACTTTAATGACCATCCTTATTAATACTTGGAATGACTTGAAATCATTTTCATCTTCTCATCATCATTTTCATCTTTTTAAACAAATTAAACACTTTGCACTATCCAATCTCAATTTCAAGATTGAGTAGATTTTTTTTACGTTACTTTTTCATCATTTGAAAGAACTTAGTGCGTGATAATTTTTAGCTTTCTTCTTCTATAACTTAGCCAAAAATCAAATGATTAGATAGCATAGTTTGGATCACATGCCACAATTAAGTTTCAGACGTCATGGGGCCGTCCCTTGACTATCGAAAAACAAAAAATAAAAGTAAAAAAAAAAAGAAGAGCAAGAAATATAGAAAACATGTCTGAAATATATAGTTCATATCAGAAGAAATTTACCAATCAATATTTTCTAAAGTGAGATTCCCTTTGGGACATCAATAAATATGTTGTTATTATTTTGTGGGATTTCGTGTGTTTTTAATTTACCCTCCAATCGCCATCTGTTAATTTAATATCATTGAACCACCCTAATAAATTAACAGCAGAAGGTCTCTTTCAAAGTGTTTTTCTTGCTTCCGCGAAAATTCAGAGCAAGGCACGTTTATAATCGCATATAAAGCCTTCAATTATTTTATTTGTGCAAGAAAACCAAATCCATGTCTCAATTATTATGTGATGATTGTTTTAGCGTAAATGACTGCACGGCTCTTCAAACAAATCCCACAAGTTCAATGTATATATCTGTCATATGTTTAATTATGCGGCTTCTCTTCTCAGTATGACACTTGATAAAAGAAGCACACTGTTGAGAGTTGCCAACATTAGGCCATCTACAATCCAAATGGAAGTTGTGGATATTTGTTCTCAGGTTGAACTTCTTCTTATTCATACTTATTTCCATACAAATCTTGTCTTTTGAGATACTCAATATAGAGGGTATCATCTCTTTGCCTTGTTTATTCATTTCAGATGATAATATTAAATTTAAAAGTATCTAATAATATTTTCTTACATAGATTGAAAAAAGAAAAAGAAAAACAGTGTTACTGATATCCAAAAAACTTACAATACTGGGTATTGTACACTCACATGGGGTTGTTCAAATACTTTCGAATAGTTTTCCCTTTCCAGTCAGCAGCCCCTTTATTTCAAAAAGCAAGGCATCAGTATCACAGTGAATGTTTATGTGAGTGAGCTTCTGCCACTTCGACGTTTTCTATGGCCTATGTTTTTAACTTTATCAATCAATCAATCATGCCTTCATCATGATCAAACCCACAATTATGATCACTTTATCTAATAGATTATGAGATTATTTTTATTTTTTTTACTTAAAAGGAATATTTTAATTTATTTAAATCCTAAAGCTTCTTTGCAAGAATGAGTTGTATGCTAAATGAAAGTGGGCCTGAAAGTAATTCAACTTTAAACTGACTAAGAAGGATAGGTATACAGGTTACCCGTATAAATCTCTCCAGAGCATTCATTGAACTGTACGGACACTGCAGATTAACCAATTATAAACGAAACTCCAAATATTGTCTTATTTAAAAAAAAAAAATGACCTTTTTTGACACTTCACTTGACATCGCTTGAGCCGAGCGTGTATATAACTGCTCCTGAGCTCATCCTGAAACAACCATACAAGATTATATTATTATTATTATTGCACAAACTCTATAGAGATAAAAAGGCATTTGGTGAGGCTTTGGAGCTTTGCAGAGAAGCTCAACTCATCAGCCTAGTCTTTGAAACCCTTTCCATTTTGGTCATCTTCTTGTTTGTTGTTAGGCTTGAGCGACAAAAGGTCTCCCAGGGTCTTGCTTTGAATTATGAAGCGTTTCAGCTCTACGGATTCTTTGGATGCCTTCATGTCCATCTGTCGTTCTAAAGGTATAAATATTCAACCTTGATATCATAAATCTACAGTAATTCATCATATGACCCTGTAATTAGACTCTCAATTTGGTTTCTGAGTGTGCTTTTTCAAGAAAACATAATGAAAAACTCACAGCGTATATAAGCTAGATGAATTACTATGTGGTGTAAAACAAAGAATTTCTTTATTTATTTTTTTTTTTTTTGGTTTCTTGCCTTCTCTCAGCAACCACATGGAGAATCAAATTAAAGTTTTTTTGTTTACATAGTGTGAAAGACAATTAAGCACCCTTTCACTTCTGTTGTTTATATATTTGATGTTAACAACTGTAACATACACTTAGTTGTAGAGAAGAATAGTCCCAAGAGCAAGCAACTTTACAGTAGGGAGTTTCAGACAATGATAGATAGCTTAGAAGAAGAAGACTACAGAGAGGAAGCTAGCCAATCTACAGAAAAGAAACGAAGATTAACTTCGGATCAAGTTAAGGCCTTGGAGAAGAATTTTGAGGTTGAAAACAAGCTAGAGCCTGACAAAAAAGCCAAATTAGCTGAGGAATTAGGCCTGCAACCGCGACAGATTGCCGTCTGGTTTCAAAACCGCCGTGCCCGTTTGAAAACTAAGGAATTGGAGAGAGAATATTGTCTTCTCAAAGCCAATTATGATTCTCTGAAGATTGATTATAATAATCTTGAAGAAGAAAACGAATCATTGGCAACTACGGTATGTCACTTTCGTTGAATAAATTAAGTTTCTGTTGGTTAAAATTTTGTAACATTTGGTGTTTGGTTTGCAGTTAAGAGAGTTAAAAGCTAAGCTTTGCCAAGAAAATGAGGACACCAGTGATGCTGTTAAAGAGGATGCCGCTGTTTCAGAACAGAGTAAAAACCTTGAATTATGTGATAATGTTAACCCTCAGCTACTAATATCTCCAGCTTCTTCTTCTTCTCTACAATTCACTGGCTCTTCTTCATCTACACATTCATCGTTGAATTGGATTCAGTTATCCGACTCCAGAAAAATGCTGGACAATGTCTATCAACAGCCTTATTTTGTGAAAGTAGAAGAGCAAAGCTTATTTAATTCAGAGGATTCCTGCAATTTCTTCTCAGTTGATCAAGCTCCTACTCTGCAGTGGTACTTTACTGGGCAGTAAAACTAGTGAAGATGCAAAGTTTAAGTCTTTAAATTATATAAAATAGTTTCAAATTTTGTAATTTGGCTTTGAAGTTTATTCTCCGTAATGGCGGGAATATTGCAGTTCATTAGTAAAGTTCAGTGTATAAATCCTTATTAACAAATACAAAATAAGTTCCATAACTCATTTGAAAATTGTCCCAACTCTATTCCAATTGAACTCATATTTTATGTGGGTATGATGAAAATATGATCTCATCTAATCTATAATCATACGATACCATATTCATGTGTAAATGCTAAAATACAGAGTGTGCTACCCCACTCCATGAGGTGAGCAGGCTTATTCATTAAGCAGACTTTTTGTCTTCAAGCAGGACATGTACTCTTGCATGAATTATTTGATTCTGGGAACCGGCGATGCGTTTCTTTTTTAAAATTCAACTTAGAGCTGGCAATTTAACAACTGTTTCTGACTTAATAAAATAAACTGAAAGGTTCCCCTTCCCCATCTTAATTAAGATACGTGAATTTTAAACTGTTCAAATTTGGTTCGACAAAACGTGATTGGCGAAAGCTGTTTTCCTTTCCATTGAATTCACTATCTTTCTGTTCTGGTTTCGGATAGGCACGTATCAAGAATCAGCCCATGTGGTTAGTAAAAAGCAAATCCTGACTCGAAGCCAAATTGAACGGCAAGTCCATTGTTGGCCAAACGAATCGTCGTGACTGTCAATAAGAGAAGATATTTCAGTGGTACCACTACCACACTCGCTTTTTCCAAAGAAACAGAGTCTCTCGGTACCACTTTCTGAATCGACGAGTAGAATTCACCGCCCTTCCCGTTCTTCTTTTAAGCAACAATGGGCAGATCAGAAATGCGATACTTTATAGTAATTATTATCTCAATTATTAATAATTTCGTTTGTATGCACTAATTCTACTTGAAGAGTTGCAGACTAAGAAAGCATTGACCCCAAAGTAAAGTGGGTGTGATTTTTCCATGTAGTAGAATGGAAGCTAGTTGGCGTGGTTAGCCCGGGTTCTTGAACAAGTGGAGGTGAAGAGGGCACAAGTCTCTTTCCACTTTATGGGTTTGGGTGGGAAAGAGACAGAGACTGTGTGAGAAAGAGACACAGCAAAAAAGCTGCTGAGACTTGCGCCTCGCTAGCTCCTTTTCCAAAGTCTCGCTAGTGTCAGAATTGTGGCACCCACTTGTCATCCATCTTTGACTCTTATTACCCCTATGGGAATCTAGCTACAGCCCCCCTTACCACGACGTTCTATCCCTTCCCCAATACACTCACCAAATCCCTCATCAATTTAACAATCGCCATTTTTCTTTTCAGTCTTCATACGAAAATTCTTGCGTGTATTTTTTTACATGTTAACACGAAACTCTTATGTAAATTTAACACTTCTATCACCTTATTAAGTCCTTATATCTTGACCTTTCTGAACCTTTTGTGAAAGGGAACAAAGGATTTGTCTGGCATACTAGTGTTAGAACTTAGAAAGCAAGTTGTGTATACAACTTGCTCAGAGGATTAGTTAAAAGACAAAGACCTCACGTTTGATTCGGTTCTCATATTCTATCATCAGTTGGATAATTTTTGCCTACTCGGATTTGAATTATCGCAAGGAGATTTAGATTGATAATAATTAGATTTTTTTTTTTTATTTTATTTTTTATTGCTTTTTGGGGTTTGGGCTAATCTTAGTTCAATTTCGCTGTTGACGAGAGCATCGTCCCCTGTTTATTTATTAAGAGAGGTGACTTCACTAAAATATTTGTGGAAGATTAAGACGAAGCTTTTCCTGATCAACAACATTCATTCTTTTTCAATGTCACGTTAGTTAGTAATCAACATCAATGTCTAATTCACTATTGGTTAATGTCTTATTTCTCCAAGAGATTAATCACTGTCATGGAATCCCAACCGATGTACTTCTTTCATAATTTATATACACATATTCTAAACGACTGTTACATACTTAGGGTTCCACTATGCTTCCTGCAATTATTTAAACCTATAAATTTTAGCCAAACGACTTGCGCATACCCAAGATTTGCTATAATGATAAGTTGTACTTGAAAGTTTTGAACTACAAATAGGTATTTCCGTCATCGCTGTTAGTGTTTCTGTTTGTTAATAGTGAAAAGACTAAATGCCCTTGAAGTTTGATATTTTAGTTTTTATTATAAATTTTTAAAAAACCCCCCCTAGGTTTGCTAATTAATAAACACCCCCATATATAAAAAGTTTTTAAATGGCAAAAACACCCCCCACCATCAGTACCAGATTCTGCCAACCACCGCCGGAATCAGGCAGGAATTGCGTTACGACACAAACCTTGTCGGATTGTGTCGTACGCATTGATCTGGTATTTTTTACCAGATCCTTGTTGATCTGGCTGGAAAAGACCAGATCTACGGCCGATCTGGCCATTGACGCAGCAGATGAAGTTTTTACGGCCACACACCAGATCTAGCGTAGATCTGGCCTTTTTCGACCAGAACCGTGGCTGATCTGGGCTGGAAAAGGCCAGATCTTGGCCAGCATCTGGCCCTCGACACCGCAGAAGAAGTTTTGTGGCACGACTGCCAGATCTAGCTGTAGATCTGGCCTTTTCTCCCGCCATAACAGCCACGATCTGGCCGAAAATGCCAGATCTGCCGTCGAGGCCGCAACTCCATCTACTGCCTTTCCGGCCTAGTCGACATGTATCGACACAGATCCGATGGATCTGTGTTGTAAGGCAATTTCCGGCCAGTTTCCGACGTGGTGTCGGGAACTGGGCAGTTCATGAGGGTGGTGGGTGTTTTTGTCATTTAACAAACTTTTTATAATGAGGGTGTGTAGTTAAATTAGCAAACCTATGGGGGTTTTTTAGAAATTTTAAATTTATAAAAAATAAGATATCAAATTTTCAAGGGCATTTTAGTCTTTGTCACTATGAAAAACTAAAATCAACTAACAGCACATGACGGAAGGGTATATGTTTGTCATTTCAAAATCTTCTAGGTATCAACTTATTGTTTCGACAACTTGTATGCGTAAGTCGTCCAGCCTAAATTTATAATGTTTACATGTTTTGTGTTACTTTGAAAAGCATCACAATAGATTTTGCGCCACAAAAGCCCACCACTACTAGGCTTTGTGGTCATGAATTATTTTTGTAATGGGCTCTGCACCAGAAAAAGTAGAGCAGAAACTAGATATAGAAGTCCAATATTGTTGGGCTTTCTTGGGTCATAATTTTGTTTTCTGGGTTTCCAATTCCACTGGGAAGGAGAACAGAAACTGAAAACCCTTGAACTCTCTTACCTCGTGACGGCGCTATAGTTAGTTTGGCTTCGCTGCTGTGCCAAAGCTTGCAAGCTAATTAACTATGATCTCTTTGCTATTTTCATATATTAGTTTCATTTTGCTGTTGAAAGATTGATACAAATTGATTTTGATTTGATATAAGCAATTAAAGCGGTTGATTTGGGTGATAGGGGGGGAGAATGGCTTTGGGACTTATATTAGGGATAGGGAGAGCAATGCGAAGGAAAGTCCATCATCACTTGACATTCGCTCGTCAAACGCGGCCCGCGAGATTATTACAAGGGAAAGAATTGCGAGCCAACTGGTTTCCATACTCGCAAAGGTTCGATTGTTTTTACTTCCATTTGCATTTCTCCATTCCAGCTTAAATGTGTTTGTTTGATAATCCGGGATTTAGAAGATGAGATATTGTTTAGTTCAATGAAATGTACTGAAAAGTTATTAGAATTCATGAAAACTTATAATTTTACATGCTCACCGCGTTTATAGTTTTCGTCTCTTTGATTTAACTGGACAATTAATGCACGGTGGGCACGTTTTGTTAGCAAGTGAAACTGCCCAACTATTTGGTTCCTGATTTGACTGACTTCGATGTGAGATTCTATTCTATTTCTTTCTTTTTATTTATTTTCCTGTTGCATTAAGATTTGTATGCGATATAGGTGCAAATATCGGTTGTTGTTGGGAATTATCGGATGTTTCATTATAAGTTTTCATACAAGATTTAGAGGATTGAGTTATCCTCTTCATTGTCTATTTGCCTACAAGAATTTTTAAGAACTTCCTCAATTTTTTTTATGTTGTCTTAGGGGTTGAGATGCATGAGCATGAGCTTTTCCATAGGCCTTGTAACTTCAATTTAGTTTTAGAGCAAGAAATGCTTTGCAAAGGATGGTGTTAGTTTTCTTCAGTAGTTCATAGCGTTAGAGGTTCAATTTCGTTAAAGCTTGTGTTTTGTAATCAAGAGGTTCATGTCTCACACATTGAGGTTTACCTCAAGTTTTGAATTAGGTATGGAATCTTTGTGAACGCCAGTATTGAGGGTTTGGACTTCTGATCGCATGAAACACTAGGGATTTTCCCTCCCCTGAAATTCCTTAAATGATTGTGCCAATGATTGTTCTTTCTCAGCTGTCAAATAGGATTTTTGTGCCATCAGTTCAACTCCTAGACTTCATTTTCTTGAAACTTTGAGCAATTATCAAACCAACCCAAAGGCATTCTCCTCCACATAATGCAGTCTGCAAATTAGTTGCTGTGTTTATTAGGGAACTCCAATCCGCACACGTGGAGCAATTACCTGCCTCTCTCTTGAATTAGGTTTCTGAGGGAGGATCTAATATGACTAACATTACCTATTTTTGAAAGGATAATTGGACATCTAAATCTGACCTAGTTCTGAATGGACCTCTATTCTAAGAATGGCCTAGAAAAGGTAGTTGCATATTTGACACTGCTACCTTTAGAAATGGCTATTTTTGTTTCCTGCAAATGATTTGAGCTCTCATGTTAATTAGCTATTGAATATTTACTTTGATGAAGTTTTTTCATGTAATGGTTGATACGAATTGCTCTTCGTGCATGCAGCTCAAGCCACATGTGTCACAGTGCCTGATGGAAGTCAAAGCAGCTGAGACTGCTGAATCAGGAATATAGTTTAATAAAGTGAGAAAGGGCGTCTGACCTTTTCCAAACTGCTGTATTCCTCTGCAATGTATTCAAGTTAGCAAATGACTCTGTGACTTGAAACTATAAGAGTCACTTGGTAGTTTCCATGCTTCTCTTCTTGTTCTAGAAATGTGACCGTTGTCAGTTATTTGTTCAATTATGATTGTTTAAGAACGTCCTATAATGGAAACAATTTACAGAAACTTGTTGAGATTGTATGGTTAGTCGGATAAAAACTAATATGCTACATTGGTGTGGTCATACATTAGATCAAAGGGTAGATTGCAACTGCTAGTCTCATTAACATTAAAACTCAGTGATGCTGTGTATTTCTGCTTACATCGAAGTCAAATGTATGTTTTTGTGAATATGTTTCAAAATGTTACTAGATTCTCTTGCTCTGAAATATCTGGATTAATATAAGAATCCTGTAATTTTGTCAGGCAGGTTCAGCATATCACATTTGGAAATATATCTGAAGTGCCTTGGTTTTATCCCAAGGGATAAGGCATAACAGTACATCAGGCCAACGACTCAATCCCAAACAATTTCTGTATCTCCTTTGTGATTAACAAATCCATATTTTACACATGCAATTTCTACAAATGGGTCTAATGACGACATGAGATAAGTAGTGTGTAGGGTTGGGAGGTCATTTTCTACAAGTGTGGATGGAGAAATATCTACGATTTGGATAAGAGAGGGTGAGAGTGAGACGGAGCCCTCGTTACAGATGGAGATAATGGGCATGGAGATGGCTGGAGGGGGATGGGGGTTGTGGCAGGCAGGGGCGCATTTAATGAATGACGCCGACTCAATTTTTTTAAAATTTCGGATTTTATTTTTATATTTATAGTTATTTAAATTTTACGCCTAATAAACTTTGAGATTTTGAGAATGAAACGGCCCGACTTCCACGGTAAGGTTGGATTTTGTTTTGTAAAACTCCGTTTTTAATCCTAATATATTTATTAAATATTCTTTGTTATTTTTATTTTTATGCAAGGAGATCTGTTAGGGGTGGAATAAACCGATTAACCGAACCGGTTTATCCAAACCAAAAACCGGACCGGTTTCGGTTAAAAATCGAATATGAACTGAACCGAATTTTTGGTTCGGTTACCGGTTTTCAAATTACCCTTTAATCCTTAAAATTCTTCAATATTTCATTTAAGTCCCTAAATTCAATTATTTATTATTTTATATATAATTTCATACTATGTTTCTCTTTTATTTTGTATTATTGTTGTATTCTTTATATGAAAAATACATTAAATTACTTATTTGCAAATACTGAATCTAAAATATGAAATAAAAACATAAAGAATTCNAGATGCGTTTAGGGATTGAAGATATCGATTTTTGCCTTAATTGGTTTCGATTAAGCGATTTGAATATTTGGGGCTCTTTTGTAAATTTCAAATTTTAAAAACTTTCATTAATTATGATTTTGTCCTTATATGTTTTAATCTTTTCATTTTAACCCATTTTACATGTTTAATGGATCCTAAATGTGCCACGTCAGCTTCTCTAAAAAAAAAAAAATGGTAAACAGTTTCAAGGCCATTTTTTTAAATCTAAACTTGGGATGGCTGGTCAGCTAAATTTCCTCTAAATGGGTGGGTATGTTATATAGATTACTAAATTGCCCTCCTTTTTAAATTTTAATATAATATTATTTTTAAATCCTTTTTTTTAACCCTTTACAATTTGAAATTTTGCTAAAACACATAAATTATATAAAATTTTAACATGTAGCAAAATCATCCCCACCCACCCCAAGCCACTACCAGCAACCACCATCACCGCCAGTCACCGTTGGCAGTTGACGGCGCATGACCAGTCGTATATGGCTGGTTGTGCGCTAGCAAAGCCCAAGTTGACTTCAACTAATTATTGACATTTATGTATTTTAAAAATAGATAGAGAATTCTTTTCATTGAACATATTTGAAAATTTTATAAAATTTAAAGAGATTTTAATATTTTAGGATATATCGTTAATGATTTCTATAGCTTAAATTCTATAACTCCATATTATAACGATTTTTAGGTATTATAACTCCATAACGATTTTTAGGTATTAAATATAAAATAATTTTAAGCAATCATAATTTTTTTTTTAATTAAAATCTCATTTCTAGATGCTTTCTTGGAGAAGTGGAGCTACAATTTTTCAATCATTCTAGATGCTGCAAATAATGACGAAGAAGGATAAGGAGACTTTATCACATTTGAAGTTATAAAATACTAATAAGTAGAAAATAAATAAAAAACTCTTACGTTTAATTAAAAAAACAAAACTCCCAAGAATTGGTTGAAGCTGGGTATTTTTATGGGCATATATGTAAATTTATCATTTTAAAAAACTGTCAGAACCGTTAGAAAATAAACTCCCAAGCACAGGTTGGGTGTTTTAAAAACTGCTACTAAAAATCTCTCAAAACCGTTACGATGGTTTACCCTCAAAATCGCTACAATGGTTTACTCTCATAACCGCTACTATGAAACTCCCAAGTAGACTTAGCAACAATAAACATTCAAAATTCAAAAACAAAACAAACTTTGCTAATATCAACACTGCTAATATAACAAAATAGGTTTTAAAACCCGACTCGGGGGTTAACCCAACCAGGCCACCGGGTCATGGGTTTGACGGGTCGAACGTTCCGACTGGTGGGTCAGTCCGTGACGTCAGCAAAAAAAAAAAAAAAAAAAAATTAAAAAAATGCAGATTTTAATTTTTAACAATGATAATAAAAAATTTTCAATTATTTTTTTATATTTTACTGTAATAGACCTAGTTTATACCAGTTGGACCGGTGGTTCATCGCAAAAAAACCAGTCCAATCGTGGGCGAAAGCGGGTCAAATACTAATTCAGGTTTTTTATATGAACCGATCCAGTCTAGCCACCAATTCTCGGTCGAACTGGTTCAATCGGCCTGGCCCGGCCGGGTTTTAAAACCATATTAACAATATATCGATCTATCTCGCTCTCACCTTCAAATTCACATTTCTTTTTCTCTTTCTCTAGAAAATTCAAATATGGTTTACACATCTGGTATAAGCTTTCCTTGTGTACCTTCAGTTTACAAGTCCACTCAATCAAGCTGCTACTTCAATGGTGATCGCCGGAGTTCAAGTCTCTCTTTCTTCTTGAAGAAGAACTCACTTTCACTTACTCTCTCTCGTTTATTTCTTCATTTTATCCCCACTCTGTTTTTATAGTCGATTGAATTTTTTGTTCGATTTTTCTCTTTTAATGTAGAAATTGATGTTTCTGTATTCTTTTTGGTTCTATAAACAATAATTGTAAATCCTCTATGTTTGTATGATTGCATAAAACTCGGATACTAAATCAAAGATTATTGGAATGAGTATTTATGGTGGAGTAAGCTCATTGTCAGTTTTGATATGTTGAAATTATATCAATCTACTGTTAACTTGAACTTCTATTTTAGTTTTGAATTTTCTTCCTTAGGAGAATAATTAGAAGTCTTTTGATTGGTTGTTTCCACAGATCATTTGATATGTTAGTTGAAAATTGATGCCACTAGCAAGCATATTTTGGTGGATCAAATTTATATTCTCAATATCTCATCATGTGAATGGAATTATGTGATACAGAATACAAAGTAATTTGTGTTGAGAATTCTCTATTTTTTGTCAGACTTGTAAAGCTAATTTGACGCTGGTTTGTAGGGAAGATCCTTGCTGGAAAGCCTTTAAAAGATTATGATGTCTCATCTTTGACAGTTGCTGCACCTGATAAAGTCCTTGTGCCTGGCAGCAAGGGTGATGGCACTTCATTATTCACTGATCAACTGGAAACTGCAGATACTGTATCAGAAGAACAATGAGGTTTGTGATGTTCTTTAACCTATTACAAATGGTGGTTATCAATTAAAGGTTTTACATTTTGATTAATCTATTAATGAAGATAATATTTGCATTTATATATGAAGGAAAATAATGACCAAAAGGTGTACTGAAATGATTTTGACTTGTCCATTCAGTACCTTTTACTGATATTGTGATGGTGTGGTTAATTCTTTGACAGATAATGCATTTTTCTCTCTCTCTTATATAAAGCATATTGAGTAGGCTATGTAACCACTCCAACCAAAAATTTTACTTCTAACATGTTCTGTCATGTGCAAGGCATGTAAATGAAACATAAATGCAATTTATTGTAATTTAATCAAATACCATTTCCGGATTCAACACACAAAATCACTCAGTGAACTTGGTTTGATACCGTACTAATTCAAAAGCTTAAGGTGATAGAGAACTACTGAATAATAAATAGTATTTAAGTATTCCATCAATATGTACTGTTATGCCTGGGAGAACAAGGGCTGACGTGGAAAGTCACGTGAAGCAGTGTGACCTACTCTCGTCAGAGCGGTAAGTACATGTCAAGCCTGCCAAACGCGTTGGAGCTCCCACGTGTCCATTTCCCTGCAATGAATCGCGTGAAATCAGCTTGGGAAGTGGGTAATGGGACGTAAAGCCGGATTATGTCCTGACACTCACACCAACCCATGGATTTAATGATGATTACACGCCCTCATCTAGTTATAAAAGGGAGAAGACCCCTTCATTAAGAGGATTCGGCCATTTTTTACACAAAAAACTCTCTTTTGCAAACTTTGTAATTTACTTTTCCTAATCATTTGTAAGTCAGTCTGCTGTTGTGACCTGACCCACCATACTAATACAAATCAGTGGACGTAGGACTTGCTACCTTAGCATCCGAACCACTTTAAAAAGCTCACATAGCAATTATTTCAGATAATTCCTTTCCATAATCACGTGTGTCTCTTGACCAATCAACGTTACGCACATGTCGATTAGTTGGTGTTAGAATCACGCATCAACAGTTTCGCGCTAGAAGGAGGGCTGATTTGGTGTTCATCCTTCATCAGGAGAATCTTCAACCTACTGGTCCTACAGCAGCAAATGACCCGCCAATCTGAACCTGAGCAAGCTAACCAGTGCGCTGAAGGAGTCCCCTTGACCCAAGGGGATACCCCCTCTAGGGTACTTCCAGTTTCACAAAATGTTGCGGGGGATATCCCGGCAGCTTCGCAGCTTGACCCCGCCATCAGAAGCTACCTAGGGAGGTTCGATAATACTCTCTAGACGGTCAACCAGAGGCTGGACCGTTTGGACCAAGGAATGTCATCTACAACAGCTGGGGCGGTGCAACCGCCAAAAACACTTGCAGGTCAGGTGAAAGCGAGGCAAAGGGAAATAGCCCGTGCCGCGAGCACTGCAGCGCGTAGACGTAAGGGTAATCAAGTGGCAAAAAGTAAGCCTACGGGTTCCCAAGGACCAGCGAACACAAACCGTGCCCCGAGCAGGGTGTCGGCAAAGCTGAGACTCAGCGAAAAAGTGAATCCCGAGTTGTCCCATGCCACGTCGCAGGTGAACCCAAGCAAAGGTGCCGGGCACGATGATTCCTATCACCGCCAGCAGAATGATCCTGATCACTATCATGCGGGTGGTCCCCACACCTCGCGGGGTAGTTCGTACCACCGCAAGGGTTGTGAAAATGCCCCGCACAATCCTTTGCCTTCACACGCCTCTAGTCAGCGTGTGTCGAGTGCGACCAAAAATGCTGGCCGAGGCGAAGAGGAGTCCGACCTCCAGACTTTCCTGAACCATAATCGCGAAGGCTGGACTCGCATGGGTGAAAGCAATCCCCAATTGGCTCCGTTACCACAAATTGAGGAGCTATAGCGAGCTCTGGACAGGT